TTTTTCAACGACACAACCACAACAAAGCTACCATTAATGCACAGGTGACGGGCCGGTGGCGTGTCCTTGGCTGTGATGAGCCACGTTGACTGGTTGACCGTCCTCACAGCTTTGGCATTCCAGCCCAGTTGTGCGAGGGCAGCGGTCAGCGCTTCCGGGGTTGTGTGATCGGTAAGGTGCTTGAGAGGGCATCTCACCTTCTGGGACGAACAGGCTTTCGGGGGTGAGGATTTTGCGCACCTTCTGAAGGTTCTCACGCCTGCAACGACACCAAGGATGTTGGGGTCACTGGTTGCTTTAGCAACGGCATCATCCAGGGAGGCAGTAGGGAGGGGAATGATGGCGAAGGCTTGGTGCGGCTTCTTGTCATCTCCCTTTGGTGTGAGGAAGATGCCCGCTTTTCCGGATCTGGCCAGCACGGGGTCAACAACGGTCATAGGGAGTCGCAAAATGCCATGCAGGTATGCGGCTTTATCGTGGGGTGCTGGTTTACGGTCCTTGCTGAAGAACTTGGCACTCCAAGTGGCCATGACCTTGCCGTTCCTGAGTTTGGGCAGGTGAACACCCAGGTATTGCAGATGATCAGCAACGTCTTTCTTTCCACTGAGCGGCGAGGTCACGCCTGACCCAGAACTCAACGACACAGGATGCAACGGCACCCATGGAGGTGGACGGCACATCCGCTGCAAACTTGATTTCAACATCACCAAAGTTCACAAGGCAGGTGGGAACGAGAACGGGTTGATCCTCGTGATTGAACGCAGGAGCCATGAACTGCTGAAGCCCTGCAATTGGCTTGGTGTCAACGATTGCAATGGCCAGAGGGCCTGCGCTGATGCGGCTGGCAGGCAGGAAGGCTTCTGCTGCGGCCTTGGTCATGATGGCAAGGCCCTCCTGGTCAGGGCCGAATCTCTCAGGGGCAAGGTATGAGACCTTGGATCCTTCTGCTTTGAAGGACTGCAGGTCGATGGTGATGGTGGCCACATCAATGGCTCTGATGCTGTTAGCATGGGAGCTTGCGCTTGCGCAAGGTCTGCTGCCACTCCTTCAACTCGGTCGGTGTGATGAGACGGATCTTGGCGTCCGATGCAAGCTTTTTGAGCGAGGACCAGAAATCGTGGCTGGGCTCATGCAGGCCGGATCAACGTTGCGGGTGGTTGCTTGGCACCCCCTTTGACTGGACAGGCACGGAAATCCAGCACCTTCTCGGGTTGGGTGCATTCGACCCTGGTGTGCGGGTCAATGCTTGCCGTCCTCCATGGTGAGGAAGGATTGGTTGGACGTGCATTTGAGGTATGATGCCGCTCCAATTGCCATGAGCGTAGTGCCTTGCTGGAAGGACATCTCGCTGGCTTTGGATTGGAAGGGGCTCCGCACCCATCTTTTGACAAGGGTGGTGTCCTTGTCTGGAGCAGGATTGCCGACACAGGGGATGGCAATGATGGCAGCCCTTGGATAAGGCTTGTGTGATTGGAAGGTCAACTCACAGGGGGCACGCAGAGCCAAGGCAACGAAATGGGCAGCTCCGGATTGCACACAAAGCCGTTGACAACAGGCAGGATATCCATTGTTGCTGCGATGTCAGGCAGGAGAAGGCGGATGGCAACAGAGAGGTGCGTATCGTCACGCACAGCACAGGTCCTAACAGTAGTCCACACAGGGTGCCTGATAGCAAGGCGGATGTGTGCCTCACCAGCTGGCTTGGATGCGTCGGAGCAAATCGGTGGGAAAGGGAGCTGTGGCATGTTACAAAAGGGCAGGCAGTGGCATCAAGGCAGGGCTGATGGACACCTGGAAGCTGGTTCCCGAGCGGGCAAGGACAAACTCAGCCGGGTGAGCCGGGACCCCATCTTGTTGCGCAACCAGCTGGCTGCAGAGGACCTTTGCATCTCCTGCGACTAGCGCAAGAAGGTCTCTGACAGTCCATGTTGCATCAACCATGCAAATGCGTCCAGTGCCAAGGATATCAGCCGTAACGACCCTGGCAAACTCACGGAAACAGACACGGATGCAGAAACCCTTGGGGTCACTGGGCACCGAGTAAGCGATGGCTTTACTGCCGTTGACCTGGATGTCAGCGCAGTGCTCCGCAAGGATGTGTGGCAGGCTGATACGGAGCATGTCACAAACGGATGCGCCGTTCCTAACCCACTGGGTAACCGCCCAAACGCCCTTATCCTGTAGGATGCGACACGGAAGAAGCGAGGGCTCAGGAATGGGCAAAGAGTCCCAGGAATCGACTTGCTGGGACACCGGGATCGTGTCAAACGTGATGTGACCAAACTTGGGCATATCAACAGCAAGATCTTTTCCACCACTGAGAGCAACACATCTGGGTGATGCTTTTGATCACCACACACTCACGCAATGGGTAGGCGATGCCCCAAGTGGTCTCGGGTTCACAGGCACGAGACAGTGCGGCGGCTGAGGTCTTGCGCAGCTTACGTGGTGGTTCAGCAACATGACACTTGTGGGTTGGTCCCTGGTGCAGCCGCAGGGGCTGGTGCACGGACGGGTCACCATGGCATGTCGGGGAGTCACAAGGCTCAATGGGGTCACTGGCTGCGGATGGCCTGGGGACGACACTGCTACGGACATGCTGCAGTGGGGTCTGCAAGGCACACTATCAGGAGCGCACATAGGCCCCTGCTGATCAGGTCCGGGAAAAATGCTGGCAGGGAGTGAGGTGCTGGTGCAACTGTTGGATGTGGTTGGGAGAGGCTGGCTGTGGGAGCACAGTACAGCACCAGGATGCAACTGGGAGTTCGCTTGAACACACGGTGTGGGCTCAGTATTCTCCTGGACATCGGCATCCAGGAATCTTTGCCTAGAGGCTGCGAGTGCAAGCTGTCTGAGACTGTCGATATCCCTGATGGTGTATGTACATCCCTGGGTCACGCAGATGGCCCTTGAGGCCCTGATCTTCTTGGCGCAAACCAACTCAATGATACTGGCCAACTCCGTGTCAGGTGCAAACGGGGAAGCGTGGCTGAGGATGACATGGGTCCTACAAATCTGCAGTGCTGCATGGGGAATGGTGATGCAGTTCCCAAGGATTTTCCAAGCCTCATCGTGGTCACAGGGAAGGACAAGGTCAAAGGGCTGGGCGAGGCATGCAGCGAGTTCTGTCGGGCTGAAATAGTTGCAGGCATCCAGGGATTGGTCGAACCACAATGGTGTATGGAGACCCTTTTCACACAGGAGGCTGGGAGGGAGCCGATGCTGTCCACCATATGACGCCATGATCGATGGCATGTGCTGGTCTGGGCCAATAGCACGCGCTCGGGCTGCACTATCCGCTTTGCCCACAGCAATGGCCTTCTTGGCCCAAGAGGGCAACATGCGTGGGTCGGACAGCTTGTGAACAGCATCCGATTCCGGAAGAAATGCTGCGGCGTGCTTGGGCAAGTATTTGCAAATCACGTCCTCACTTGCAAGGGTGGCTTTGTATAACGGCATGCAAGGGCGGCAAATGGCGAGTTTGGCCGCCTGCTGGACTCTATGCGGGTCGATCTCGACATCTCGGCGCACAAATGTGGCAAGCCAACGATTGCGGTTCACAGGAGCAACCGCCAGGCACTCAGCAGTGCCCTGATGCACGAGGGCAAACCCACATTCTTGCGCAAACCGGACGACACGGTCGTAGTGTGGGTGGCTGTGGAAACCCGCAACGTTTTCTATGGTGATGGAAGTGATGCATTGGCCCATTTTGAAAGTACCAGTGAACGACAAACCATCAGGCGAATGCAACCCGCGCTGGCGGGCGGCCCCAGACCACGGTTGGCATGGGGGGCTGCAGAGCCAGTCAGTGACCCCAGCCATGCCAGCAACAGCCCACATCATTGGGTCACACATGTCTGCCACGAGGTTACAGGCAGACCTCGTTGGAGCAGCTGGACCACCTCATCCAAGGACAAGCACTTGACCTTGTGATTGATAGCACAAATCTGGGCAACCTCCGGGCAGTGCTCCACGTGAAGCGCAACCTTGGTATTGACATAGGCAGCGGCCCAGCAAACCCTTCAGCGACGACAAGGAAATCAACGAGCTCGACTTGGCGGCATAAAATCCGGATGACCGCAGATCGACCAAACAAATGCGTTTCTCAATGAACAGTGTAATAGGAAACCGACGAGTTCGAGTTGGTTGCCAAAAATTGTAAAAATGTGATTGCAAAAGTCCGGATGACCGCAGATTGACAAAAAAAATGCGTTTCTTAATAGACAGTTTAATAGGAAATCGACGAGTTCAGGTCGGCTGCCCAATTTTGCAAAAATGTGACTACAAAAGCCCGGACGACCGCAGATCGACCAAAAAATGCGTTTCTTAATAGACAGTTTAATAGGAAATCGACGAGTTCGGGGGCTGGGGGATGCAAATGCACCTCCCTGTCTGCGAGACAGAGAGCACACTCCTATGGGCCATGTTGCACACGTTGGGGTTCAACAGGCAAACACCTTGTTCCACCGCTAGCTTCCAAGAGACCCAAGTGGGAACCTCCACATAGATCTCCTTGAGCTCGCCGCACGTCAATGCTTTCCAGGTGACCGTGCAACTCCCGGAGTCGTGCACGCCCTTGAGGGTGAGGAAAACAAACGCATCCATGGGACTCTGTCGCGCCTAGGCACCACTGGGAGGTGTCCCTTCAGCCGAAATGCCTTCAGGTGATACTGTGGATGGACGAAATCCGCTTCTCGCACCACTTTCAAACCATCGAAAACCTATGTTTGTTGGTAGTTGCAGGGGAATCATCATTCCAGGGCTTCTAAGGTGGTGCAGGATTTCGTCCATCCACAGTATTTCCCACTAAATACCCATCGTCATTTGGCTGTGGGTCAAAATTAAACCGCCAGACCATAGGTTTTAGTCCTGGATTCCATTTACCCGGGCAACCCATTTTGGGTACCACCTATTTTTGACCCACGGCCACTTGGGGGCCTTTGAAGGACTATTGATCAACCCCCACATGGGAGTTGCTCATCACGACCGGCACTCCGCAGGGGTGTGGGCACGGACCACCTAGAGAGCTTTGCGCACGTCTTCTCGATGCCGGGAGCCCCGAAGCGATGTTTTTCCTTCCGGATGGAAAGCACCCGGAGGGTTAGGTGCAACTTGGTTTGTGTTTTCTCAAGCCAAAGGAAACCCACCGCATGGACTAAAACCACATTGACTGGCATGAAGGTAGAAACTTGACCCGGGCGAAAGAAGTCAAAACCAAAGGTAGCCGTATGTCACTATGTCATGAACCTCTACCCAAGCAGGTCTCCCACTTCCTCAGTGGATTGGCCCGAGAAAGTCTGATCTGTTTCTTCAGCACAGCTCTCCCCCAAAAGTTTCAAGTTCATTTTCGCTCGGACCAACCCTTTGAGGGCGAGTTTGAAGGAAGCTCAAAAGACATCTGGAGTGGAGGAATACGTTCGGACGGATTTCTCAAACTTTTTCTGCAAGGCAGCGCCCCATTGCTAGGGCCTTTTCTCCCTTCTTCTTCTGGGCGCTGACAAACGGACCCCGATGCCAGATCTGGCGGAGTCCCCAATCGGGGCCCTATTCTTCCCCACGAAGAAGCTAGCTTAGCAGAGCTGACTGTCTCCCACTCAAACCCCAAGCACAGATTGGAGACGGTCGAATCGGAGCAACCCTGATGACAACTCCTTCCTTGTGCTTTGCATCAGTTGCCCTCTGCGGGTCACTGTGCAGCTTTCATCGCCCTCGACGGCTTTCTCCCCGGAGGTATGCCGTTGTATGTGTTTGTTCCCTAGCCAATTTCACCGGGGTCTCTCGACATCCCATGTCGCTGGCTCGGGTTTGACTTTTTGTTTGTTTGAAGCCTTTTGGTGGAGGAAGCGCACAAGGACCTTATTGGTATGTTTCTAGCTGTTATTTTTTGTTCTTGTTAGTTGGAACAGGGGTTCCAAAGGATATACATTTTTGCCAACATACCAGAGGTCGGGGAGCTTTGCTTGTTCTCACAGCCCCAACGGCTTTTTGACTGGGCCGGACTGGGACACGGGGTCTCGTTCTGAGGACGGACACAAGTTCCTCTCCTCCAGCTGCTCGGACGTGCAAGGGCCCATTCAAGCCCAGTCAAAGCTTTCATAGGTCCTAAAAGAGGCGACTTTGAGTGTTGGTCAGGACGGCTGATTTTGACCTTTTGGTTTCTTGGTATTGGTTCATATGTCAGTTGCGGGTCCCGCAACGTGAACATTTTGAGGAGTTTCACAGCAAATCAGCATCGTAAAATTTCTTCGGGAGTCAGCTGAACCTACAAGCGAATCGGAGACTTTCTCCCGCCAACCAGTTGGGATCTCCTCCCAATTTTGCTTCGTGGCGGTTGATCAAAAGGACGTGTTGGCGTGAAACCATTGGGGAAAGCCATTAAGAACATACCCGCGAAATGGGTCAGGTGATGGTCATTTGGGCCAGGAATATTGAACCACCAACGCAAATTTCCCTCTCCTTTCACCATCCACCCACCAGAAAACCTCCTCACACGAAAATTGTCCTCCTTTTGGACCCTCCCAGCCAAATTTCATGTTCGTGGAGGGGGCAGCATCATTTACAACTCATTTCCTTGCAACAACTCCGACTGTGGCAAACAGTTGCACCTTCTGAGGGTTTGTCAGCCCCTAACCCTGTTGGGAAGGGTTTGTTTTAGCCCACAAAACTCGGGCTTTCGGCTTTCCCTTTTTCCTCCATGGACACAGAGAAAAGGTGCCCGTAAGCCAAAGATCGCCTAGCGCAATCGCTGCACATTTTTCTCGGAACCTTGGGCCCAATCGCTGCTTTTTCAACCTCAGGGTCCATTTCGTTGGGGGCCAGACACCTGTCTGTGATACCAAAGTTGCAGAACTTCAGGCTCGTTTTCGTCGCTGAGACTCGGGTGAGTAATTTAGTCAGAGAGCACTGGGTCGTTTTGCCACTTTTTGGGGTTGGGGCCACCCAGTTTTGTTTCGGGGGATCCTAGGGTCTAGGGGCCTCTAGGCAGGTATTCCATGAATGGATGAATGCCTGAGGCGCCATGAGAAGAGCCTCAACAGATGGTTAATCTCTGTTCCACAGTCCTTCAACAAGTTCCTTGTCACAACCTTTCACACTCTTTTGTCAGCGTTTCAGGGTTTCAGTTTGTCTCCTGGCAAACTCAGCTTTTTCTTACCCTCCAAGCCCAATGTTTCCCTCAAAGCCTTCCAATGCTTTCTTTCAAAACCAAAGGAGTGCTGGGCAATTCTGAGGAGCAGACAGAACGTGTAGAAAACCGCCAGAATACCAATGAGAACGAGGACCGGGAGGACCGGAGATCGGCCGGAGAGACCCTTTGGGTTTTGCCAGGTCACCCGGTCACCTTTTTTTTCTTTTTCTCTCCCGTGTGTGCGTTTTTTTGCCCCCCCCCTTTTTGCCAAAGTTATGTTTGCCCAACTAGTGTGCTCATGGCTTGGGGGGGTGGGATTTGGGTTGACACATGTCCGGTTTTGATGGTGCCACTCAGTCACACTGCCAACTTTTAGGGTTTTCCTTCATATCACCAACAGGGGTGCATGGGTAGCCTAGCCCCCATGTCTTCGGGAGCTCGGGAGCGAGCTTCTCTGGGTTCATGTGGCCTCCACTAGCCCCAAACCACTTCCAGTTTTGTTTTTTTGTTAATCCATAGATACAGCCACCATGTGGAATGGATTGCCAAATCCGTTCGCACGAAATGAATCCGCGGGAAGCCAAGGGTGGGTGGTATTTTACGGCGGATCGAATCATTTCAGGGGTGCGAACAGACTTCGCTCATCCACAGTACAAATAAACTTTTCCTGCTGGGGGTAGCGGCTGTAGTCGAAACCATCGAGCCATTGGCTGGAGCTGGAAGAAGTGAAAGTATACCAGGGTGAAAGTAGATGGCACAACAATCCCCTTCGTGTGGCTGGGCAATCCAGGAAGACTGACCCCACCCACTTTCATTTAATTGTGTGTTTTGTTCACGTGTTGTTTCATCATGTGGCAAAACGGCCGAATGGCCGTTTGGCTCAAGTTTTCCACTTCCCGACAGGTCTTCTGCGGTAAAACGTCAGGCGCCATAGTGCGGCGGTCTTCCCCCTCATTAAGTAGTTTGCTGCTTGGTGCGGGATAGGGCTGGCACTAGGAGGTACCTGGTTTTACGGCGCGGGCGCCCTGGGCTTGGTGGCATACTTCCCGATTTACTATTGCAACGTGTTTCCAAACCTCCCCAAACATTTTCCTCTTCTACCGTCACATCCTCAACCCGGTCATCATCCACAGCTTCACCCGAGTTGTGTTTCCGGGTGCTGTGGGCACTTTGTGATCTACCTTGTGCTCATTTGCTTCCCTGGGCTACTTCGTGTTCGCCCAAAACCGCAGGTTATCAGCCGTAACAGCTAGAAGCTGGGGCTGGTGATCCGGTTGCGGGACGTGACCCGCTACCTGCTCCCATCGCCTACTTGTACGAACAATGGCGTCCCCCGGAGCTTCTCATCGTGGGCCGGGCTTCGTGGACGACGAGGCCAACGCCCTTCGCGGCAACGCCGCGCCTGCTGCCCCCGGCTTAGACAGCCGGCTGTGGCCCATTCCCCCGATGGTGGGCGCAGAGCCCAATCCCGGGGTGATCACGGACGATTGGATCCTTTCTCAGGTTGTGTTTGATGAGGATGCGGAGGCCCCTATCCCGGCGGCAGTGCTCCAGATCGAGGACGGACCCCCTCTAGAAGAGGCTGAGGTTCCTCCAAATCAGGTGCCCTCATCGATTTCGCCTACTGTTCCGTTCGTGGCGCTCCAGATCGAGGACCGGGCTGTCCATCATGCTGCTCATCCGGAGCCGGCTCAATCATGGTCCCTTACATGGGATCAGTTTGACCAACTCCTCGGCAGTGGATCGCAGGCTACACCGCCTGATTTCGGTCGGCTCGACTTTAACTCGGGTGCCCCCGTTTCGGTTGGGAATCTGGATTTTCAATCCCTTTTTGATGCTGATTGGAGGTCTCAGCCTTCCCGAATTGATAGATCCTTTGATGCCCTGCCTTCGCATGAGCCTACTCAGGGTTTTCCTCATGATGGAGAAAATGACCCCATTGAAGATTTCTCCCCTTCTCATGTTGCAGGTTCGGCCCAACCCGAGGTGGGCAAACGGGCGATTGAGGATTGGCCGCAAATAGCTGGCCTTCCTCCCGTCTCAGGTTCATCCGACGTTGACATCATTCACGATCACCCCAGTCCAGCGGATATGGACTTCATCCCTGATGCAGTATCATCTCACCTGTCAGGTACACGCGACCGGAATGCGGACCGCTACAACGCTGGTCCGAATCCACCGCTTTCCTCAGGTACCCGAGGTCGTGATGCGAACCGCTACAACGCGGGCTCAAATCCGCCAAATCGGACATCAGGTACTAATCGATCGGATGCGGGCCGCGAAACAGCAGGCCCAAATCCTTCCTCCTCTTCGTCAAGAAGCCATGCCGGTCTCTTCGCGGCGTTCAATCGGCGTCAGACTCGAAAAGAGTCCGCCCCCGACGTCATCGACCTCGAGGAGCAGTCCAGCCACCGTACCAGCGATGGATCCGAGCAGGATACACCTGGTATTGGCTCTACTCCATTTGACCTCCTCGACATCCCCTTCCATCAGCCACCCAGGAGAGGAAATGAAGATGATGAAACCATCCCTGGGATCCTTGATGTAATCGATGAGGCCGAGGTCACACCAGAGAGACGAACGACATCGCTCCCGCCGAGCCGCGTTGCCAAAGTACTTTCCCCTAAGCCACTCAATGGTGACGTTGCTCAACGGCTTGATCTCACTCAACCTGATCCAGATCAAGCTCAACTTCGCGGATCATCATCATTTGATAACGTGTCGGGACAAACCGGCACTGACTCACGAGCCACAAAGAGGAGCTCTGAGTCACCCGAGAGACGTGAAGCTGCTCTGCGATTGCGATCCCATCCCCCACCAGCTCATCACGATCCTATTGACGTTCCTATCCACTCTGCGGGGTCTGGGCTCAGCTCCAATGCCCCGATGTCTGAGAAGGAGACTGATGACGGGATTAACTCTACGCCCAGGAATCGGAGACCTGGAATTAGCACTGTTGCTCCTGGACATGGAGGGCTTCCTTCAAATCAACCGGTCAGCAACTCCCTCGTCCCCGCATTCTTTCAAATTGGAACTCCGGGCTGCACTCCCGACAGGGAAGAAAATAGGCGCGGAGATCATGACGCTGATAGTCGTCCTGCTCCGTCTGCTTCCACAAGTGGCGGCCATCCTGTTGCATCTGAGCTTCAACGACTGCTTCTCGCGATCCACAACGAGGTCAAGGGGTGCAAGGCCGAAATCCAGGGGTGCCGAACTGAGATTCGTTCATGTAGGGATGATATCAACGCTTGCGTCGGTGAGATCAGGAAGATCAATAACCGTGTTGACGCCTTCGAGAAGAAAGTTGAATCATCTTTCTCTGCCGTTGCCGGAACTCTCTCAAAACACGAGGCTAAGTTCCGTGATTTTCACGAGTGGGTCGCCCGAAGCGAGAAGGAGACGAATGAGCGTTTCAAGAAGTATGATGAGAGATCTGACTCGATCGTCATATCCGCTGCTGAACTTCGCGAGCAGGCCGAATCACTTGAGAACGTCAAGGTCCAGCTCCTTAGATTCTCTGAGGTCGGGGCCCTTGAGGCTGAAGTTCGGAAAATCAAAGACGAAGTTGAGGCGAACTCTCGCAGTGTCATCGACATTGAGGGGACCATCTCAAGGGAAAGAACCATCCGTGGGAACGTCGAGACGTATATTCAGCATCTCGTTCCTGCGACCGACCTGAAGCAGTTCAGTGATAGGGTGTCCGGAGCCCTCAATGAGAACTCACAGAAACAGGAGGAGTTCAAGCTTCAATTGTCCCGTATTGCTAGGTGCGTCAAGGACCTTCATGACAAAAGCTTAGGTCCCAATCCGAGGGACATGCAAGAGCAGTTTATGAAGCTTGTGCTGAGGGTCAATGAGATCAACATGCAGATCGGTGAGATGAGGGAACAACCTCCCGCTGCCTGCGGATCTTCAAGTGCTGGCGCTGCTTCGACCGCCGGAACGGGATCATGGGAGAAGTCTGGAGACACTATTCCCTTAACCCAGGGAAGGACTCCTAGAGGTTCTCCTCCTCGTGATGCTCGCACCGTCAGCTCGGCGAGGCCTCCTCCGCCTCCACCTCCTTCGGGGCCACCCCCACCGTCACCATCAGCCCCCATCTTCGGCAGGGATCCCTCTAGAACGAGGGCCATTGCTCGGGCTGCCGGCGCTGCCCCTGATGACCGGGCCAGATGTGCTCATAAAAACCCCGGGCATCCACAGCATCGGGAACCTCGCTATCTATGCCGAAGCTGCGGCAAGTCAGTCTGCGAAGACTGCTTTGACCATGATTGTAACTCGTGTTTCAAGTGCAGCGATCAGTTTCCTAGATGCCGCGCATGCAGGGGAAGAGGGGGGAGACACGGGCTTGTGAGGTGTCTCATATGCAAGGACGAGTACTGCGAACAGCACATCGCTTCACCTGACGATGTGCGCCGTTTTGGGTCGAATGTTCGACCTATTTGCCTCGGTTGTCTGAGAGCTGATCCCGACGGGAAAACTAAGCATCGCGGTCCCAGTGCGGGGCCTGGAGAACCTGATTGCACTCCTGATCTTAATCAGCGGGATGGCACTGCTCCTGATCCTGGATCCGGGCCATCACGTGGAGATCCGTCACATCGGAGTCCTGAACCGCAGCAAGGAAACTCTGGTTTCTGTTCCCACGCCGGAGCTGCCGGGCCAATGCCGCCAAGGGCAATGTCTTCACCCGTAGTCGGACGAGCAGTTCCGAGGGGGAACATCAACACGTATCCTGGGTGTTCCCCTACAGGGGGGATTTTCACCGGTCAGGTTGAGCATGGAACGTCTCAGGGAGTCATTCGCGGGAGGTACGGACCTGACGCTGCTGTGACAATTCAGCAGAATCCACAGCCTCACCACGGAGTACCGGATAACTCTGGCGGGCCAACTGGTTTCTCCCTTCCACCAGGACTCGGTAAGGGTTTGCATGGCGTCGGTGGCGTCGGCGGTATTGGAGCTCCCGATCTTCGCCGATCTTCCGCTGAGGAGAGGGTCTGCCCTCGATGCAACATAAATGTCAAGACCAGTGTCCCCGGAACACCTCCATGCTTCCAAACTTGTTCGTTGTGCCGCACTTCTCTGTGTGCCGCGTGCTGCCCGCCATCATCCGGGAGTTGCTCTCTTTGTGCCATATCCATTGGCAGAGACGGCGTTTTACCT